TTTTTTTCATTTCCCAAAGGTCTGCAACTCATATGACTTCAGGATGAGAAGGAGAGATCACTTCAAGGACAGTCTGTTGCAAGAATGCCCAATGCATGAATGAAACGGTTGCCATGCCAACCATGTCACTGAGCAATTGCATGTTGACCGAGGCCTTGCGTCTGTGATGGACATATTGAATGATACTGACAGCTGATTGTCAACGTTAGCTAGTGTACGTGACAACTCCCATGAAACACATGACACTGACACACACACTCCAACAACCATTATAAACCTCTGACACATAAGCATCTCTTCTTCCTGGAACAGTTCGAGTCCAGGGGAGCAGGCTTCCTCCTTTAAGCCCCAGGCTCCATCTCTGATGGGGTCCCAGTTTAAAACCAGCTTCCTTTCTCAGCCCCTCGGCTGGCCTTTTAACACATCACGAGTTTGTTTTCCAGGATGAAAATAATCCAGTAGGAGTCTGGGCCTTTGTCCATTCACATTTTCCTCCCCATTAGACATTTTTCATTTTTAAATACCTTGACCAGACCTGTATTTCCAGGTCTATGCCTTTTATAATATGAATAGGAACACTGCTCTCATTTCCTTATACAAATGGAAAAGTTGTGTTTAGCTTAGATCACACCAGCTGCTACGCCCATCAATATGTTCACATTTGGTATCATGAGTCCTCACTAAGCACGACTACATTACTACATGAGTATTCATGGCAGGTTTCCTGCACATATATATTTCAAAAGTTCATACTTTTAGAGTAAATAATATTTGAAATGTGAGTACAAATAACTAAACGTTTGTGTTGATAAATCGTTTTAAAATCCAAATGTGAGCAATAATTGCAAGAAGATTGTAGCTCTCTGTGCTGTAGCTGACAAAATAAATTAACAACAATCCAGACAAGTTAACTTCACAGCACTTTACTAAATCTGCGCTGCTAAAACAGTGAGCAACAAGAAAGAGCAACAGCATTTAGACTACCGATACTCCCATTAGTTTTTCTGAACATATAGAATAAATATTACATAATTGTTTCACTCATATTTTTTAGTCTTCCATAAATAAGGACAAAAAATTTGTTGACGAAAGTTAAATCAAAAAGTTACGCAGCATCTATGCAGCCTTGTTTTTTCACGCTGTTCAGATACGTTCAGACAAGCTTAATATTTGGATATTTGTGACACTATGCACTATATATATGTAATTAAAAGATACTGATGCACCTTTTTCTTGGTCTAACTTAACTGCTGTGTGAAACAATATCATGTATACTATTGCAGCTGGTAATTAAGAAAAGCTGCAAGTACAGTGCATGATTTCTCCTCTGAAAGTTGCCTTTTTAGTATGTTATACTCAACCCGACTTTACCGTGACTAAGAAAGAAACAACTGCATTCATGAAAGTGCCAACAAAGATAATCAATAATTCATCCCTGCATCGAACTCATCTGCAATCCATCTGCAACCAATAAAAACAAACCAGACTGGCACCAGAAAATTTGAATTAGTTAGATTTCCTATAACTATCTCTGTAAACAAAACGAAAATATCATGGAAAACAGCAGCCAGTATGTCTGGTTATTTATTAAGTTTGCTTCAGCTTTGTTCATAGAGCTGCTATTTTACCTCCTGGGTCTTGCAAACTTTGTTGTTTTCTTCCACTAAAAAGAATAAATAAATAAATTCTATATATCTAACTAACTTTCAGACTCTGGATTGCAAATTCAACACAGATCTGTGATAGTGAGCGAATAAAGGCTCACTGTAAAGAGCATCTCTTTCGACAGACCGCAGCTACAGTTTGCCCTCACATGGTTCCACTTAAGTCAGGAATTATCTCCTTCGGCGAGGAAGACTCTCCCCTGACAAGATCCTCAGAGGTTTGACTTCTCTTTCATTTGGCTTTGATTTACAAGGTCTTCTGAATCAAGGCTTTTGGGGGGGGTGAAGCCTCCCTCGATACACTACTGACTCTGGTTTTGCCTCTTTCTCCAGCAAACAACACAAACATGTATCCACACTGTCAACAGGGGATTCCACTAAGGAAAAAAAATGCAGCGTGATGACAGTTGATAGCTGGTTTGAACACATGGTGCCTGACATGTATGTCAGAGGCACAGCAATAAAACTGGCATTTGAGACCACCTTAAATATAACTTCCCTGACAGTCTGCTACACCAGCAACTTTAGCCAAAATAACAATCTCTGTAACATTTGTGTACAGACACAAGTTTTGCAAGGCTTACTGGCAGCAACTGGTTTTCTTATTTCCTCTGCTTTCAGTTTATCACCCACAGAAAGTCGCGACTGCACCATTTACTCACTCTGGTTTACAGGAACTCTTCCCTCTGAAGTGGTTTTGACTTCTTCCTAGTGAGGTTAAAGGTCAGATGAAACCACCACTCCGCTCTGTGACTGGGCTTTTACACCCTGGAAAAGAGAGAAAAAGATGAAGAACAAAATCTATCAGACATAATTTAATGTCTATTTTGAGTGTGTAGCAGCAAAACACAAGCCCTGCTTTGTTCACCTCATCGAAAGCCATTAGTCAGTGAAATATCATACTTATGGATCGCCTGTTTGTTCTCGCTGCACGGCATGAGGATTGAGAGACTGTGCAGCCAGCAGCTGGAGGAGAGCAGACTGATTTCACTGTCACAAGAATGCAAAGGATTAACTATGGAGAGTGCTTGAGCGAGAGACTTAACTAAGCACGGCACAGAAAGACACTTATCGCAAAGCTCTGAAAGCAATCAAGCGATGCTCTCCCTTTATTATGAACTTTCTTCATCACCGCGGCGAGATTAAGAACGTGACATTTCAGCTGCAGACGCCTTCTTCATTTCACTATAAGCACACAAACGCACACACGCAGCCGACTTAATAAGCATGCTAACCACCACAACATGAGTCAGAGTTGAAACTCAACCTTGTCAAAACTATTACATGTGAGTCTGTGACTCACCCACGAGGTCTTAATAATCAGCTTTAAACATTTCGGCGAATCATCAACTCATTCACAACAGCGCTGACTCACACATGAGCACTTTTTACCTAAAACGATCTACATGCTGAGTCATAGTCTCGCAGTAAAAGATAATTCCTACATGTCAGGTTAAAACATGCTGAGTTGGTCAGGAAATATCACTGCTATGATTTGGTCATGGTGTGTATTTACTTTGTCTTTGTGTGAGAGGTGGGCAGCTGATGTTGTGGCTAACTACTGGTAAGCTATTCCCGCTGGTCTCAGCTGTTCCTTCGTTTTTCTACACACCAACTGTTGTTCAGTCACAGCATGTGGCGCTTCTCCTTGCGAAAAAAGCTGTGTGTCCATGAGGGTGTGTTTTCACAGCAAACAGATCTCTTGTAACAAGGAGAAAGCTTGTGTGTGTTTGCACGTCATCCTTACATGTGTGTCTTAAAAAAAAAAAAAAAGCCCAATTGCCTGCTCCAGTTACAGTTCACTCCACCCCTTCCCCGACAACCCGCCATCTCTCTGTTGTAATTTGCACACAGCTAACGTGTGATATCACTCAGTCAACACAAGGCCATTGAACAGGTGTGGCAGTGACACATGGGTCGGTGCAGCTGCAGGGAGCACAGTTGCTTCAGTCACAACAGCGCAAGGGCCTGAGGGCAGCTGCTCCAATGCTGAAAACAAAGGCGGGCCTGCGACACATGCACAGACAAACATGACCAAATTATGATCAAGAGGCAATGGTTGTGCAAAAAAGAAGGAGGCATACAAGTTCATTATCGAATGGCTCAAATCTAACAAGTCCAGACCTGGCACACATTTCTGCTTCGGTAGCCATGTTTCCATATAGTTGTCAAAGTTTGAAGCAAACATTTGAAATGTCGTTTAAAAAAAAAGAAAAAAAAAAGAAAACAGGCTTCTATTAACTGCTTTGGAGCGATTTAACTAGGCCACGAAGTGTCGTCAGAAGGTGGCGATTTAGGTTACACATGGCTGTAATAAACGGAGTTGAAAAAGCCAGAGCAAAACCAGTTTTTTCTCAACTGCTTAGAAAATGAATAAAAAAATCTTCAATTTTCAATAGAGCAAGTTGTATTTATTATTAATTGTCAGCTGGTACTGGCCATGTTTCATGCTGTCTGGATACAAAGAGAAAAAACGAAGCAGAATTAGCTGATTAGTTACACAAGTTCAATGTTTGCTACTAATAAAAGGACTAATTTGAAAATGATGTTTCCATCACCCATGAAGCACAATAACTCAAAAGGGTCAAAACCACCTCAAGGAAGCTTTTGCTATTTTAAATAGGGTTGCAAATGTTAAACAACTTTCTCAATAATCAAACAATTATTAAAGCAAATGAAGTACAGTGGACATTCTGCCATATTCTGACAAGCCATTATTCACCACAGAATCATAATATTTGCTGTTAAAGCGGCTATACGATGATAGGAACACTGGTAGTTTCAGTTTGCATTCAAAACATAGGCTCTGGCCGATAGCTAATAACTGCTACAAAAGTCTTTCTCATGTTGGCTTATTGTTAGCTAAACCCTCCCAATGTTCTCTGCCCTTGATATGTTACAGTATTAAACACAGTCTTCCAACTAATTACACAATAAAAGGGTACTAGAGCTCATGTGAAATAGATTATTTGAATGTCATTTGTAGTCTGTGTCAACTACCAGATAATCATTAGCATGTCTACTTTCAATAAAGTTTTTCTTATGTGTTACTTCAAAACGTAAATAAAATTACGTGACGGAAACACTGCTAGCGAAAGATATCGGACTGTCCGACAGCCTCATTGCAGTATTGACACACTGGTGGAAGATGTACAAATGCTCAGGTACATTCACAGCACATGTGCAACAAAATATGCAAACTAACATGATCTGGAAACAACTCTTGCCTTGAATTTAAGCTGAGGGCACTACCAAAACACACAACTGCCCCAAAAGGTGCCCTGTGTGTAATACTGTCAACAGTGAGCTTCAACAGACTTTTTTTATGTGGCCTAGATCGGTGCCCCACTTCAACAACAGACCAAGGGGAAACACAGGGTCCAGTGTAGTGGACACAGGTGTGTCCTTGTCCACCCACACTTCCTCCATTAACAGCACTCCTTTGGGGCGGCTCATTTCCTGTCGGGGCAGGAAGTGGGAAGGAGGGCAGGGCAGTGAGCGAGCAGGGGTGATGATGATGTCAGAGCAGGAAATAAAGACAGGATTGTTGGAGGGGAAGCACAGCAAATGAGCAAGCAGACAGAGCTAAATACATGTGTACAGTGCATGAGGTACCGTAAGTCCACAATCTGTGACTTCAGTGTGACACATAGACTGAACAGCCATAATTATGAACACTGAGTAATTGGATCTTTTCAGACATGGGATATGTAACACTGCTGCTTCATCGGTCTGTTAAAGGGACAGCATTCTGTCATTCAGACATTGTTTCCTTTCTGTTAATGTTTGTCACAGCTTCAATCAGACATACCACAGTGACGGAGAAAGCTATGGCGCACATGTGATATTTGTCATTCACACAAGATTAGACAGAAGTGATGTATAACACATAATAATGCACTAATAAACAAAAGACTAAATCTAAACTCATGGCAGTTTATCAAGTTGTCCAAATAAACAACAGCCTTGTTTATTTTGATTTCCTAAACCATGAAAATTCCATCAATGTCTGATTAAACTACGTATTTACCAACAGTACAATACAAATATCCCGACAGCTGTGATGGAGCTCAGGACTCAACCTGGGGGAGGGCTTAAGCTGGCATATCTGTTGTCTGCTGTGTTCTTTTATATACAAAGTTTTTGGGGCTCATCTTAGGAAATACAGAGGACAATAATTTGTCTTAAAGCAGAAACCTAAAGGAGGAGCTGTATGTCCAGGCTTTCGGTGCACATATAGAGATAAAGTGTGCCTTGGCTGTGTTTACAAAATAACAGGAAGAACTTACAGTAGCACACAATCCAGTGCAATAACATGACAAACAATGGCCTTAAAATACCATACATCTGTCCATTCTTCATCTGTAATGTCAGATCATGAAAAAATACAACCATATGCTAACCTATAAACACAGAGGAAGGTCTGCTATGAATCACACCAGCACAAAAAAGCACAGACAACATGCCACGGTGACGCGACAGAGACTGCAGATTAGTGATTAAAGACGCATTCCGCTCATTCTTGTGTTGCATGACAGGATAGGATCTGGAAATGTGATATATTACTGCATTGTGTTTGCTAAAACAAACCATTACGTGACCTCTGATTCACAGTATAGATCTCAAGTTCACCAACAATCTGTAAATCAATGCATCAACCGTGGGAGACTTATTGATTGGAATCACCCAACAGCACCTTAATCTGCTTCCAGAACAAGATAAGGCCTTAACAGTGACCCAAAGACTTCTTGTAAGGGCACTAGGATAAACCATCAGGCGGCTGATTGATGGTTCTCCTCAAAGCCGACCCTCACTGGGAGAGTGCATTAGTATTGATCAATGTGTTGCTTTCGTATCAAGTCAACTGCAACTCTAAGAAGTAGCTGCTTCAATTGTTGCACAGTGCACTGTCTGACCTCTGCAGTGGGTCAATACAAAAATCCCTTCAAAAGCTGGGCAATTTCCCATCTGAAAATCACCTGCTTTTCCTGTATGTCAATTAAAGCTGGGAGCAAATAAAATTCAACATCTCACTTTACCAAACAAAGCAGTTAAGTCCTACATTACCATTTCACATCACCCTTTTAATTTCAGGATACAGACATGGCTGCTTTTCTGACTAAAGTCCTTTTCAGACATGTGATTGATATGTACTCAGTGCTGAGGCCAAAAACCCAACCTGCTCTCTTTATGAGCTTTAAAGAGTGGTAAAGGGGTTATTAAACGGACCTTGTACAGTCTCCTTTAGCTGTTGCTGCTCACATACAGTGAGGTCTGGTTGTGATTACAAGGAGCTGATCTTCTCTCCTCAGTGGGATTCTCCACGGTCCGTGCAGTGAGCACTCGGCTCTGGAAAAACCACACATGGTGGGAATTATGGAATAATGCTGCGTCAGGAATGTTCCCACGATGGCCAGTGGGATCTGATGGAGGTCCCACTGCCTGGCTAACTGCCGGTGGGGTTTATTGGTAATGCAATGCACACATACAGAGTTACACAATGAAATGCCTCTTGTGTTGGTCCACATTTGGACCTGTTCTTCTATCGTTGCATCAAAATAGTTCTTTGTGTCCATGCATTTGTGCACTGTCTTCATTCAACTACAGAAGAAATCAATATGTTCAACTCTTAAACCTCATCATTAGCACATCCTGATCAGCTTAAAGACGGAAATCTCACTTCTCATTTACACTGTAATCTCTTGACAAGGATCACCAATCGCAGTGAGGGGTGAGCGGGTTCAAGATGGCTAAACATGCCAGTGACC